GACTGCTTTTTTCTCAAATCTAACGGCAACCTAACGTCATCTTTGTATGGTAGACTAATTTGAAATATTCTTCAAAGTTTCTAGATCATTTAGAAACGAAACAAACTTTCTAGACTAAAATGAAATTAAACTGAAAGTTAGTAGATGATTTTTTGAATTAAGCCATATAAAAAGGGAAAGGTTAAACTCTACTTTGATTCATTAACTATTGTATAGACCTTTTGATTTAGTTTTTAAAATAAAAACTCTTGATTCGGTCCATATTATTTATAAATTTGTCCCTAAATTGGTTCTTCTATACAAAAATAGATGATATAGTTTATTATTAATGTAACACGTGGTTGTTAAATAACTTTTTTTTATCATTAAGTAACAAATATGTCAGCTATTTTTAACAAAAAGATCAACTTGGAATCAAATTGGTAAACAATACAGACCAAATTAAAGATTTTTTTAATTAAAAAATTAAATCAAAAGTCCATATAATAATTAAGGGACCAAATTGAGGGTGTAACCAAGGAAAATCTTTCTTCTCGTGCTTCTGAATTTCCTACTAGTATTTTTCAAATAGATGGTGGTGTTTTTTTTTTTTTTTTGAACAATTTACAACATGGGGGTGGGGGGATTCGGACTCTAACCCTAGGGTTGGGAAATGCACTTTACGATTAGCCTTAGAGCCATTAGGCCATGAAGCCCAGGTGCAGATGGGGGTGCTTCTTGATTAGGTTTTTTTGCATAAATACTTATCAAGTACTTCTTCAATCTACATCTAGGTTTTGTTGATAGTTATAAGTCTTGTTGTAAGATGCATCCCCAACGCAAAGGTTGGGGTTTGAATTCCCCCTCCCCAAAACGTAAACCCATTAAAAAAAATTACTCCTTCAATTTATCTTTAGTAGTTCATATGAAAGTGTAGGTTGTGAAGAAAATTAAAATTAATAAAACTAAATGATAAATGAAAGTGGCACATGAAGAGGTAACATTAAGTGATACAACCATGATTAAGGAGGTAGAGAGGCATCGACTGCTACATGGGGTGAGGATTTGCAGACAAGCACCAACTATTTCCCATATGTTTTTTGCAAATGACAGCTATTTGTTCTTATGAGCTACTACAATAGAAACTACAAATCTCTTAAATATTTTATAGAGCTACGAATCAACTTCAGGACAAATGGTGAACCTGCAAAAATCTTTTGTTACTTTTAGTGGTAATGTGCATCACAAGACTAAAGGACAAATCCTCCAGCTTTTGAAGATGAATGAAATGGAGCAAGTGGGTAGTTATCTGGGTCTTCTGACGCATGTAGGAAGATTGGGCACCGTAGCTATCTTGGGTTTGAAAAGCAGATTCTGCGCATGGATTCACGACTAGCAAAGACAACCTCTATCAAGAGCAAGAAGGGAAGTTTTGATCAAATCTGTGTTGCATTCCCTACCAACCTATGTCATGGGACTTTTTAGCCTCCCTATTACTTTTTGTGCAAATCTTGAAAAGATTATGAATCTATTCTGGTGGGGAGGGGAGAAGATTTCCACAAAATTCACTGGATGGAGTGGAAGAAGTTGGCCTTATCAAAGAAGCAAGGTGGTTTGGGTTTCAAAGCCCTTCATGAGTTTAACATTGCAATGCTAGGAAAACAAGGTTGGAGATTGTTGTCTAATCTTGACTTTTTAGCAACAAAAATACTCAAGGCTAAATATGTTGTACCTATGATTTTGATGATTACAAAACACATTTGAGTGACTAATTGGTTCATTTAAGTGTGTAGTTAAAATGTCAAAAGATTGCAAAGTAAGTGAACTTAGACTACACTAAAAATGGACCAAAAGGCTTGAAAATGTGCAGAGAGCCAACTGTTGAAACTTGTAGCCGGCTGTTGAAGTGCAAAGAGCCGGCTCTGGAATCTGCAGCCGACTCTGGAATCTGCAGCCGACTCTAGAATCTGCAGCCGACTCTATAGGTAAAATCTTACGAGTCAGTTGTTTGGCGAGCGTAGAGAAAAGACGCAAAGCCGGCTCCAACTTTGCAGCCGGCTGTGAGGGTGCATTTAATGCACAACGGTCGAGTTATTTGAAGATTATTTAATGTGTTTAAAGTTAGGATCCCAAAGCCGGCTTTATGATTTGCAACCGACTGTGTAAGAAAACAGAATGTGTAAGAAAATAGAATGTGTAAGAAACCTGCAAAGCCGGTTGCAGAAATTTTAAGTTGGCTCTACGGAGAAAACAAAATGCAGGAAATTCGCAGAGCTGGTTGCAGGAAATTTAAACCGATTATGGAAAGCCGGCTCTAGGGAGTTAAGCCAGTTGTCCTAACAATCCTGCAACTCGAGTTTTGCGTCCTACAGAGCATTAAATGACCCCCAATGGCTAGTAACGGCTATTTTTGACCATGGGGTTATAAATATGGTTGGTAGAAGATCTAGAGCAAGTTTAGAGAGCATTGCATTGAATATCTTTACCTACCTACATGAACTTTAACTTGAGTTTTTTATCTTTGAGATATCTTTACTTGTAATCCTCTTGTTGTTCTATTTGTGAGTGATCTTGGGGGTGTGATTAATTCTTTAAGAGTGATCTATAGAGAGGATTCTTAAGGTTTATCTTGTAAAGAGGTGAGATTTGAGAGAAACACCCTTATTCTTGTAAAAGGATTGAGTGGCTCCTTTAAGCCACCCTTGTTGTTGTTGTTAGTGGAAAGTGTGGAGGAAATCCTTGGTGAGTGAAGCCAAGGTAGAGGACTAGACTCTAAGTAGTTGGACCGAACCTTTATAAAATCATTGAGCAAGCTCTTATTCTCTACTCTCTTTATTTTTGGTTTTGTGGTTGCAAAAAGGGGAGAATTTTTGGAACTCCAATTCACCCCTCCTCTTGGAGTACATTGAGTCGACAATTGGTATTAGAGCAAGGTGTCACGACACGCGAGTTTGGGGGCCGAAGTCGAGGGCATTGTGACGTGGAGTTGCAGCCACAGGCACACAGGGGGTGTGTGCAGCATCCAGGGGACATGCCAAGCAGCATCGCGGAGTACGAGCGTGGGCGCAAGTGGAAGCGGAAGTGGAAGTGTGGACGCGGGCATGCTAGACAAGTGTGTCGGTGTCACGACACGGGGTTGCGACTACAATGCTTATGGATACGAGGGCTGATGCGCAAGGCGGATCGCGAGAGACACAGCAGGCCTTGCCAACAGAGGCGTCGATACTGGGGCCGTGGTGTGAAGTTGCAAACAGGACACGCGAGAGCATGCAGGAGCACTTGGGGTCGACATGTGGGTGTGCACGAGAGTGTCTTGGCCCGAGACATGGGTGCACGCATAGGCAAGTAGCCATGGCACCCACGAGCGTGCGAGCACGGGTGCGAGCGCGACATGGAACGCCCAAGAAGCGGGCCTGGCGTGAGTTGGCAGCATCAATGCCTAGGTCGTGGCATAAGGTCGCTGTCAAGACACGTTAGAGCACTGGAGCGGCCCAGAAAATTCCAGAAGCAGCTTGTGAGGTCTGGATAAGGAACAGAACAGTGTCTGGATAAGGACGTGAACAGTACCAGATATGGGTCTAAAATGGGCTTAATGGGCCAAGCCCAACCTGGGGTTTCTCCTAGGGCCTAGTAGATAATTCTATAATAGGGGATTTTAGAATAATGTAGGCTTAGGAGGGAGAATGGAGAATGTTCTAGCAATTGTAAATATGAGGGGAATTGTGTGGAGTGTTCTAGAGACACCTGCAGAGGGCTCTTGGGCTTGACCTCTCTTATAAATAGGGGTGGCCTTAGTGGAAGAGAGAAAAGGGGAGCCTTGAGAGAGTGGGTTGCTAGGTGAGTGAGTGCAGAGAAGGGCTTTGTACTCATGCTCTTGTACACTCCCTTACAATTTTAATAAATTCTCTTCTTCTCCCAACTTCCTACCTTCTTTTACGAGTTGTTAACCTCGAGCCCAGTACAAGGGCCACGCCACATGGGGAAGGCTGACTTGGTTCGGGTTTAACGGGGTTAATTCCAAGCTAAGTGCCGCACGAGGTCGAGCTAGATTCCGCCTCCGAGACAAGTGCTATCGGAGCTAGTCTGACCCCGTGACAAAGGGCTCCAATTTGAAGGTTTAACCACCTAGGAGTTGATCAAGGATGGCTCAATTTCAAGCTTTTCAACCACTTGAAGGTTTGTCTACCACTAGGCCTTCTTTCTTTGATGGGACTAATTATAATTATTGGAAGACTAAGATGAAGGTCTTCATGCTTGCAAATGTGCCCAAGGCATGGATTGTGACTATGAAAGGTCCATATGTACCTATGAAAGTTGTTGAAGAAAGAGAGGTGCCAAAGGAAGAAGTTGAATGGAATGATGAAGACTTGGGGAAGATCATGATTAATAACAAAGCAATCAACATGCTTCAATATGCTCTTAATCCAATGGAATTCCATAAAGTATCTGGATGTGATACGGCCAAGGAGATGTGGGACATGTTGGAGGTAACACATGAAGGAACAAGTCAAGTGAAGGAGTCAAAAATCAATAGACTCATTTCATGTATGAGTTTTTCAAGATGAAATCAAAGGAAAGCATTCAAGATATGTATACAAGATTGAATGATATAGTCACCAATCTCAAGGCTCTTGGTAAAATTTATCCTTCCCAAGAAGTGGTGAGGAAGGTTTTTAAAAGCTTGCCTAAGAATTGGGAAGCCAAGAAGACCGCAATTGAAGAGTCTAAGGATCTCAACACCCTCAAGCTTGAAGATCTCATTGGAAAATTGATGACATATGAGATAGAAGTTCAAGTTGATGGTGGAGTTGAAGTAGTTGAGAAGAAGAAGAAGGATGTTGCATTCAAGGCTAGCAACCAAAAGGAAAAGAGTGAAGATGATGCTAGTGATGGTGAAAACATCTCCACCTTGATCTCTAGAGAAGTGAGGAGATTCATGAAGAAGAACATCAAGAGCAAGCTTGCAAAAAGAGATGAAGGAGAGTCTACCAAAAAGAGTGTGAAATGCTATGAGTGCAACAAGATGAGGCACTATAGAAATGAATGTCCCAAATTGAAGAAGGGTGAGAAGAAAGGCAAGAAGAGCATGAAGAAGAAAGCTTTTGCTGCCACTTGGAGTGATGATGAGACTAGCTCAACGGAAAGTGAAAGCTCCTTGGAGAAAGGTGCTGCAAATATTTGCTTCATGGCTCAAGAAGATAGCAACCATGATGATGAGGTAAACTCTAACTTCTCTAGTTCAATTAATGAAAGTTCATTTGAGTATTCTTATGATGATTTATGCAAAGTTCTTAATTGCTCTATGAATGACATTAAGAAACTAGGAAATGAGAATATTACTTTTACTAAAACCATTTCGTTGCTTAGGAATGAGATTGAATCTCTCTAAAAAAAAAAAGAGGTTTTAGTTAAAGAGAATGCCTCTTTAAATGGTAAGATTGCTTCTTTAAAGAACGAGGAGTCTAATAATGCTTTGAAAAAGGAAAATGAGGATTTAAAGAAGGAAAATGAAGATTTAAAGAAGGAAAATGAGGTTTTAAAGAGAAAAGCTTGTGATCTTGAGAATGTGATTTCCAAATTTACCTTGAGTAAAGAAAAATTTGATTCTATCTTAAAATCTCAAAGAAATATTTATGACAAAGGGGGCATTGGATTTGATTATTCTAAAAAGCAAAAGACTTTTAAGAATTCTTTTGTAAGAGCAAGTCAATCCTCTCATCCTAATGTTACTTGCTATTGTTGTGGTGCAAAGGGACACTTTGCCTATATATGTCCTTTGAAGAGATTGGTAGCTCAAGGTAAAGTGAAGCAAATTTGGGTACCAAAAATCAAAACTTAATTTTGTTTTGTAGGTAAAGTTGATGGCAAAGTCATAAGAAGAGTAAAGTTGATCATAATAAAAACTTATGCCTCAACAAGAATGTTGGAGTGAAAGTGCAAAGAAAATTTGTTTTTAAATGCTCCACTCATGTGCTCAAATTGGTATTATTTATTTTATTGCATTTATTCATTGAGTATAATTACTTTAACATGACTATTAATTATTTGTTTATGTGTGTTCACTCTTTTATATATATGCTTGTTGAATATAATATCATTTGATGTGATTATTAAAATTTATGCAAATTAATGAGCTTGGCATGTTGGATCCTAGTGCTTGATATGGCTTTTGAAATTAATGTTTTTGCTCATTAGAATTTATGCATATTGATGACTTTGATATGTGTACCTTGATTATAATCATGTTATTTGATGATGCACACATTGATATATGACTAAAATTGCATGATTTAATAGTTGATGTCCAATTTAAACTTGGTAAAATGAAGAAATATCAAATTGGGTGCATTTTCTTCAAAACAGTCCCAAATCTTTTATTTGTACCAATTAAGGCCAGTACAGCTAGCTGCAAGTTTTGAACAACCGGCTCAATCCAAAAAAAAAAAGAAAGTTCGAACTTCCCAATTTAAGCCTGCTATATGGCCACAGCTGACTTTCTTAGAAGTTTTTAAAGCTCGCGATTTTCTCTCTCTTCGCATTCCAGGTCTATTTCTTCTCCACAAAACACACCCATTCCTCTCCCAAACACATAAATCTCTCCAAATCTGTAAAAACCCATTCCTTATACACCTAAAATACCCCCAAATCCTAGCTTACCCAACATCAATCTTCAAGCTTTTCACCCCAATTTCGTGTGGATCTGCTGTCTTTCTCTCTCATGGCTTCAAGAAGGGCTGGAAGTAAGAGAAAATAGGTTGGGAGTTCTAGTGCCGGTGGTCAAGCATAATAAGAAGGTAATACCCAAGATTCTAATCTCTTTTGGGATCAAGAAGCCTGTGCTAGGTATTATGCTGTCAAGAATTTGCTTGTTTTGCCATGTAATAGTGTGAAGTTTAGTCAATTTCCTCAAGGAGATATGCATGTTGAACAGATATTTAGAGATATTGGGTGGATAAATTATTTAGAAATTAAGGAGCTTGTGTATCACAAAGTAGTTCATTAGTTTTATGCTAATTTGAAACCAAAAAGGAATACATGCCAAACCATGGTTTTTGGGTTATCATTTCAGTTTTCACCAAGAGAAATTTGTGCTACATTAGAAATACTTGAAAGAGGAGATGATCAGTTTGAAGGTGTAAATATATCTGAAGTTAAAGCCACAATTGCCCCAAATTGTACTGTTGGACAAATTAATGTGGGATTCCTTACACCAAAAAACAGAGCATTGCAGTGGATTTTTAGTCGCATTCTTGCTTAGAGAAAAGGTTCCAAATCTGTTGTACTTGGTGGTGATCTCTCATGGTTTGATTATCTTCTCAAAAGGAAGAGGTTGAACCTTGGAAGATTCATTTACCGGAACCTAATCAAGAATTATTCATCACACATGGGTCTTCCTCATGGTGCTTTAATTACTAGATTGGTGAAAAGGAACAATATTAATCTTACACCTTTTATGCTTGGAAAGGTTCAAAGTGGGACTACACTCAATAAAGCTTCCTTTGAGAATATGCAATATAAGTTTCGAAATGCTAGTTGGAGGAAGAAAGGGGATCAAGCAATGGAATAGCAAAGTGATGAAGAAGAAGGTGATGCAGATCAAGAAATGGCAGAACAGGGGGACGAAGAACATGGAGGTGACAGCCTAAGACCCTTTGAAGTCTCCATGCAAAGGACTAACCGCGAAACCATGGAGCTTATGATAAATGAGATGCGACAGTTGCACACTGACTTCTATGGTTTCCGGGCAGAAATGAGAGGGAGGATGGATACCATGGATGGAAAGCTTGATCAGCTTGTTAACAATTTTTTTCCTCCACCCCTACCTAGTGCCACCTAACTTGATGTTTCTTTAGTTTGGCTAATCTTTAGGATGGACATCTTAGGGTTATGCATTTTAAGTTTTTAAGTTTGTGACTATGTTTTTTCTTTGACTATGGATATTTCTTGAACCGTTTTATCATGTTTTGTGAATGGTAATGGAATCACTTGTGTTATCATGCTTTGTGAATGGTTGTTTATGATTTTGATGATTGTATCCTCTTATTGAGGGGAAGCATTTTGTGCTTAAATTGCTCTTCTTAATGGTTAGCATGCTTAAATGCTTTAAAGATTGATGTGCATGAATTAAGGGGGAGTTTGTTGATTATGTGCTTTTTGATGAATGACAAAAAGAGGGAGAGAATATGCTAAATTTAATGTCATTTTCTAAAGTATCTTTATGCTGAGATTCTGGTTAATATTGAAATATACATGTGCTTTCATTAATTTATTTTTAAAGTGTTTTGTCATCATCAAAAGGGGGAGATTGTTGTACCTATGATTTTGATGATTACAAAACACATTTGAGTGACTAGTTGGTTCATTTAAGTGAGTAGTTAAAATGTCAAAAGATTGCAAAGTAAGTGAACTTGGACTACACTAAAAATGGACCAAAAGGCTTAAAAATGTGCAGAGAGCCGGCTGTTGAAACTTGTAGCCGGTTGTGGAAGTGCGGAGAGCCAACTCTATAAGCTGCAGCTGACTCTACGAGTAAAATTTTACAAGTCGGTTGTTTGGTACATGTGGAGAAAAGATGTAAAGCTGGCTCCAACTTTGTAGCCTGCTATGAGGGTGCATGTAATGCACAATGGTTGAGTTATTTAAAGATTATTTAATGTGTTAAAAGTTGGAATCCCAAAACTGGCTTTATGATTTGCAGCTAGTTGTGTAAGAGAACAGAATGTGCAGGTAACTCGTAAAGCCAGTTGTAGAATTTTTAAGCTAGCTCTACGGAGAAAATAGAATGCAAGAAATCCGCAGAGCCGGCTGCAGGAAATTTAAGCTGGCTGTGGAAAGCCGGCTCTAGGGAGTTAAGTAGGCTGTCCTGATAGTCTTGCAACTCAAGCTTTGCATTCTACAGAGCATTAAATGACCCCTAATGACTAGTAACGGCTATTTTCGACCATGGAATTATAAATATGGTTGGTAGAAGATCTAGAGCAAGTTTAGATGCATTGAGTATCTTTACCTACCTACATGAGCTTTAACTTGAGTTTTTGATCTTTGAGGGATCTTTACTTGTAATCCTCTTCTTGTTCTATTTGTGAGTGATCTTGGGGGTGTGATTAATCCTTCAAGAGTGATCTATAGAGAGGATTCTTGGGGTTTATCTTGTAAAGGGGTGAGGTTTGAGAGAAACACCCTTATTTTTGTAAAAGGATTGAATGGCTCCTTTAAGCCTCCCCTATTGTTGTTGTTAGTGGAGAGTGTGGAGGAAATCCTTGGTGAGTGAAGCCAAGGTAGAGAACTAGGCTCCAAGTGGTTGGGCCGAACCTCTATAAATTCATTGAGCAAGCTCTTCTTCTCTACACTCTCTATTTTTTGGTTTTGTGGTTGTAAAAAGGGGAGAATTTTTGGAACTCCAATTCACCTCCCCTCTTGGAGTACATTGAGTCAACAATATATTTCCCTCGGAGTGATTTTTTAGACTCAAAATTGAAGCCTCTGTCGAGCTTGATATGGCGCAGCATTTGGTCCTCCAAGGAGTTGCTGAAGCAGGGCTGTAAACGTCGAATAGGGGATGGCCATAACACACTTATTTGGGGCAAGCCATGGCTTCCGTGTGAGTCCAATATCCACGGCTAGAAGACTGTGATCTTGTATATGTCAATGATCTTATAGAGGTTGACTTGCACACATGGAAGTGAGAATTGATTATGTCTATTTTTACTCCTTATGAAGCACAATTAATCATGTCAATTCCTTTGTGTTGGATGAGGAGAAAGGATAGCTGGACATGGAACTTTACACGGAATGGAAGCTATTCAGTTTGATTTGGTTATCACAGAGCAATTCATATGAGAATATCTCCTACTACTCCTTCCAGCTCATCCACAAACTTTTGCGGGCGACGTCTTTAGCATTTGAAAATTCCGGAGAAGGTTCGACACTAGTATGCAATGTATATAAAGATATTCTCGCTACCTCAAAGAATTTGTTTCAAAGGAAAATTGTTGTTGATCTTAAATGTCCTATGTGCCATCAGGAGGTCGAGACTGTGACCATTGTTTCTTACTGTGTCATGTAGCCCGGGTAGTGTAGTTGCAATTGTTGTCATAGGGTGAGACTAGCTCCGATGGCACTTGTCTTGGAGGCGGAATCTAGCTCAACCTTGTGCGGCACTTAGGTCGGGATTAACCCCGTAAACCAGAATCAAGTTAGCCTTCTTCCCTAATGCTTGGCATGGCCCTCTAACTGGGCTCGAGGTTAGCAACACATACATGAAGGTAGGGAGTTGGGAGAAGAAGAGAATTTATTAAGATCGCAATGGAGTGTACAAGAGCATGAGTACATAGCCCCTCTATGCACTCACTTACCTAGTAGCTCACTCTTGCTAGCCACTCTCTCCTCTCCTCTTCTCTTCTTAGGCCACCCCTATTTATAGAAGAGATCAGGCCCAAGAGCCCTCTGCAAGTGAGTCTCTAGAACACTCCACAGATTTCCCCTCATATGTACAATTCCAGAAGCTTCTCCACACTCCCACTAGCTTAGCCTACAATGTTCTGGAAAAACCCATTCTAGAATTATGTACAAGGCCCTAGAGGTTTCCCAGGTCAGGCTTGGCCCAACAAGCCCATCTAAACCCCTATCTGGAGCTTTCCCCGCGTGCCCAGCAACTTCTATAAGTTTTGCACCGCTCCAGTCTGCTGCAAAGGTGTCGACACCATAGCCACGTGTATTTCTCGCGTGTCGATACTCTGTCCGCTGCTGTCATGGCACACTACGTGGATGCCCTTGGCCGCTCCCGTGCGTCCTTGCATGTTTCGACCGCGATCCCCTGTCACGATCTTGGCATTGACGATGCCAACTCACGTAAGGCCCGCCTCCTAAGCGTTCCATGTCGCGCTCACGCCTACGCCTGTGCTTGCGCTTGTGCGCCTTACTGCCTTGAGCCATACCGCACCCATGCGTGCCAGCGCCCTAACCTAGCTTTCCCGTGCGTGCACCCATGTCTCCAGCCAGGACACTCTCGCGCGGACACGCATGTCGCCCCCAATTGCTCCTGCACGCTCTTGCGTGTCCTGTCCGCAACCTCACTCCACGGCCCCAATATCGATGCCTCCGTTGGTAAGGCCCGCTGCTTCCTGAGCGATCCACCTTGCGCCTGTGCCCTTGGCTATATAAGTGTTGTAATCGCAACCCCGTGTCGTGATACCGACACCCTCGTCCAGCATGCCAACGTCGATGCTTACGCTTGTGATTCCGCTTGCGCCTGTGATTGTGCTAGCGCCTACCCTCGTGTTTGCGCTCGCACTCCGCGACGCTACATGGCATGTCCCCTGGACGCGGCACACACCCTTTGTGTGCCCATGGCTACAGCTCCGTGTCACGATGCCTGTGACTTCGGCCCCCGAACTCGCGTACCGTGACAAATCGCCCTTAAGCCTTTGAGTCCCCGAGCTCTGGGTGGATAGTTTTGCATTTTTTTTTTTTTCTTATGCCATGGCAAATCTTCTAAATTAGGAACAACTAGAATTATTGTGTGTTTTATGTTGGAAATTATGGGACTGCCGGAACAGTGCACTATGGGACAACAAACCTGTTGTGCCCAGCCAGATTATAGAAAAAGCAGTATTCTTCTTGACTAAATACAATGCAGCCATTTCATCCAAGGGGAGAGGTGCCGCAGGTGTACAATGGATGAGTGAGACCAAATGGCGGCCACCTGCAGTGGGTTTTACAAAGGTTAATGTGGATGGCGCCATCTTTGAGCAACAACAACTGCATGGAGTAGGAGTAGTGGCTCGTAATTCTATCAAGGAGGTATTAGCTGCCATGATTTCTAAAGGACAAGGACTGCTCTCGGTTGAGGAAACTGAAGCATGTAACCTACGGAAAGCATTGAAATGGGCGAAGGACCTTATGTTCAATAAGATTGGCATGGAAATGAACTGTGCAAGTATAGTCACGGCAATCAAAAGTGACACTCAAACTTTAAATTCCAGCCTTGGCACAATTCTTCTAGCCTGTAAGAACCTCATGGCCTCTTTTACCATTTGCCGGCTACAGCATGTTCGAAGAACTGGAAAAACAGTAGCTCATGAGCTTGCCAGAAAGGTGCTTCGAGCTAAAGATGATTGGCTTTGGCATGTAGAAATCCTAAATTTCGTTGCACACCTTGTAACAGGAGATAAAGCACTTGCGTGGTATTTGTATCTTCTTCCTGTTGCCATTTCTATGAATAAAATAGGGTGCACAATCATAAAAAAAAAAATAAAAAAAAAAGTGGTATATAAAAAGACAATATTAAATTACTAACTTCACAAAACAAATTAAAAATGATAATAATAAATAATAATTAAAATTCATGGATGATTATATAACATTAATTTATTAACTTAACCAAAAAAAAATCAAGTGTCGGAGTGCAGCCGAAAAACATAAATTCTTTAACAATTGTATTTATTAGTTTAACATGAAAACTTAAAAGTCTAAATATTCAAAGATTTCTAAACGAAAATTAAGAGACAAAAAGGTAATATTAATTTACCAACTTAAAAATAAAAATAAAGAAATGAAGAGTTAAGTGTGCCCATCTAAGCTCGCTTTTTCCTCCTCTTACTCCTACGTACATTCTAAGCCCCCTTTTTCTCCTGGTACTCCTATGTACATTCTTTTGATGATTTCTTTTGCAATCATTAATAGTAAGTGAAATTAAGATTTTTTTCAATTCTTAATAATAAAATCTAAATATTTTGTTCAAAAAATTTTTCTCACTCCAAAATTTAGACACAGGAGATAGGAATTTAAATTGCCTAGTCTGAGCCATATTCCAAAAAGCATATTAATTTCTCTTGGTTAATGTTAAGAAAGGAATGTTAAAATTATTCATCTACTTGCAATAGATAAGGATTAGATTTTATTTAATTGTAATTTTTTAATTAAAAGAAAAAAGAATATTGCACTTGGCCCGTGTGGCCCAGTGGCCCAGTGGCTAGAGCCACTGAAAAGTGCACATCCCCCTTTCCTAGGCGGGTTTCAAACACGCCCCATGACAAAACTGTTCAAAAAAAAAAAAAGAATATTGTCTGAATCTTTAAATATGATAAAAAAAAAGAAAAAAACGTGAATTATGTGATCAAGATTCAAAGCGAGTGTTTTCATATTTCTCTGAATATTTCTTTTTTTTCAATATAGCTATATATATAATTATTTTATTAAAAATCTTGTATGTGGGTTCAACACAAGATTTGAATTCAATTTAAAACCAATTGACAATAAATAGAGTAGCTCTCATTATATTTAACTCATAAGCTTTTTATTTTTATAACACGCCCCCCTTAAATGCAGGTTTGGTATCTTCAACTTCATATCCTGTTATGTGGGTTAATAATAGACTTCTCAGAGCAGAACTTGGACTCTAATACCATATTAAACTAGGGCAGTAACAGCCGTATATGAATCTGAAATGTTATATTTCATTATAAGCAGCATTACATCTATATACAACTGAAGTCTGCTACCAGAAAAAGAAATAAGAGGAAATACAAGAACTGTACAATGCCAATCAATGCTAATCAATACAAAATATTCTTTTGACCATTCCATCCATAATCACCACCTTATATATTTGAAAAATTCTCTTTGCCAATTACTAGATGCAACCTTTTATCTATCTATAATCATTTAATTACAATTTTTTTACTAAAACTTATAATAAAATTCAAGAGTTGATATAAAAAAAAAAGAATTCAATTTCTAATATAAAAATAATTAAAGAATAACCCATGCAATATACAAGTAAAAAAAAAAAATAGCATTAAATAAATTTAACTGCCCCAAAATTTATGATCTCCCTCAATGTTTAGCTTTGCTTATCACTTCTAGAATAATTTTTGTTTCAGAAAAATGGCAGAGAAAAGAGGTTGTTTCGTCTAATCAAATTAAGATATTGAATCAACATTACTTAACATCTTAATTTAATTGGACTAAATGATTTTCCTCTCCCCAAACCAATCAGACCTTTAATGTCTAACTAGTCGGCCACCCTCTTCATTTCCAGCTTCGACCTTCCTTTGTTATGAACTATAAAAAAACTGGATATTTCCTCAATTCCTTGGCCATTAATGTTTTCAATGGGTCCCTGTGTTCTCCTTTATACATCAGCAAAAGCAAGCAAAGTAGAGAACACTAGCTTCTATAGTAACTACCATATCTCCTGGGGATATGATAATGCCTTGTTTTTGCTTATAAACCAAGAAACAGAACTTCAACCTAAATTGGACCATGTTCCAAGTTATGCTGTCAACATTTTACTTTGCAGTATAGTTTATCTCAGGAGAAAACAGCATCTTTTAATGCAATGTCTTTCAGGTTCTGCGTTCGAATGAAAATGGAGATATGTATCTGTGTTTTTTCATATTAAAATTAAAATACCTAAAAAGAACCCCATGGGAGTTGTTACAACCTTCTATATTAAGACTTCTTTTTAAATCTCTGATTCCATCTATACCTACCTCGTCTCATCATGGAGGGAAACTAATAACATCCTCTGGTTGCGATGGACCCGCAGTTAATATCGCGTTCATCAGGGCACGATGAACAAGATTTTGAGTTCTTGGGCAGTAACGGAGGCCCCTACATATTGCAGAGGAACGTCTACATATATGGTTAAGGAGGGACAGAGCAAAGAATTCATCTATGGTTTCATCCAACGAAAGACTTCCATTCCTACATAAAATCCTTCGGAATGAGCATCATAGGGTGTAAGGCTACATATGGACTTTTCTCTCTATGAAATCCATCAATTTGGTATTTGATATTTGATAAATCTCGAGTCTTTAGGTTCTGCGTGGGCAAAATATCAATTAGGGTTTTCAAGAACAAGAAGAAGATTGAAACTACCCACTTCAGCCAATGCAAATAGAGGGAAGCATATGGAATGCTGAAGAAGGCCGGGCATCAGATGAAAATAAAACGGGTTGGAGCCAGGCACCGTCCACAGCCTACTTCCAAGGATTCAGTGTTGATGGCTGCAATTTAAAAGATGGTGACACACGGAAATGTTATTCCGCAAAAGTTTGGTGGAACAAGAATTAGTGTTGGAAATTAAATCCTCCAGAACAAAGGGCATATGAAAACATAAGAAACAAATACTTCTATTATGACTATTGCTCTGATAAGTCACACTATAAAGCATCATTAGCCCCTGGAATGCAAGAGCATCCAGTAGAGTTAAAATTAGATTGCTAGGATTTAATAATAGACCAAATATCACTCGAAATTCTTGGATTCTAGGAATAACAATGTAAAGATATTGCTTTGCCTACCATTGGTAAATTCAAGGTAGAACATACTCTGCTGCTGCATTGATCAACAGAGCAATTGATCTACGAGGGACCAAATTTCCTTTCACCTTCTTTGCTCCAGGCCCCACGGAGTTCCAGAGATGAGGTATTCAGAGCAAACAAGAATTGAAGGAAATTCATTGTCCAAGTACAACAATAACAGATATGTAAAAATGTCAATACCTTAATGAAGTGACAGTATTCCCGCAAATGGTTGGAACTCCACTGCAGTGTGAGGCGGCAAATTCAAGCTCAATAGCCACAAGGCAATCACCAAGAACACCAACATATCCAGCATTTACTTTGTCATGCAGAATGTGATTGATTCAATTACCTGTAACAGGCATTGACTAATCATATAATGGAAACTTTCAGTGATCATCCTAAACAAACTTGCCCTGCCCAACTTAATCTATAAAGCTTCATTGCAATGATCATGAACGCCCACATAATTAACAAGCCGTTGGGAGGGGGGTTATAATCTTATGATCATATGTGAAAAGATGGACAGATTTAAAGATATGCATTCAATGGAATCAGATCAATAACAAAAGCATTCTTAAATTAGAACTGCACATTATATAGATAATTAGGCAAGTCATTGCAGCAATTGTTGCACTGCACCAGGAGAAGTTAAGATTTTGAAGAGTTTCTATAGAAGTCATTACAGTAAAAATGCAGTTTCCATAAGTGCAGACAAGTGCATTCACAAATCATAAGCAACCAAAATTCTGAGTAACAGTAGCTGAGCTCCACGAGTTCACAGCTCCACTGAGCACTGTAGCATTCAAAAAATCAGCAGCTTAGCTGCAAAACCCAACAAAATTCAGTTAAATCACAGCCATGTAATGCGATGCCCATAATGCAAAATCTTCATCATTACAGCTATAAACAATATAACAGACAAAATTGGTCAAAAAGCAAATATAATATGAAGACTTAACCAACAAATATTCAGAGATACACACATTTGAAAAACTAGATTTAGCATTCATTAGATATCCAAAAACAGGATTTCAACAGTACAACGTGATAACCATCAGAGCATCAACATTAACATTTAGGGCTGCAAGTTCGTCCCAGTTTAACCAGGACCCAAACCAGTCCAACCCGATCCGTTGGGTTGGATTGGATCATTTTTAATTTTTGTTTTATTTGTTTGGATTTTTGCAAATCCACAAATCTAAAGTTTGGTTTGGATTTAGACCATGGATTAACCATGAAACCACAAAACCAAATTTAAATTAAAACCTAAAATTACAACTTTCTTTAAATCTCAGCAGTGTCTTTTCTTTCATCTTCTCTCCTTCCATAAGATCTATTATATATCCTTTCCTCTTTTCGTCCTTCCCTCCTTCAGGCTTCAGCATTCATCTTCTCCCCTCCTTCAGCATTCCCCTTCTCTCCTGTCATCTTCAATTGGATCTACAGCTCCTTACTTTTCCTTTTGGATTCTTGAATTAATGTTGGGATTTAATGTTTGTTTCAAGGGGAAAAGTATGAGAAAGTAGTGCAATTTTGTCATGTTGGTAGTTTTTTCTTTTCTTAATTTTGGAAGATTTTTTGTTATGTTCGATTGATATTTGGGGGGTTTGTGGTGAAAATATGGAACACACTCCAATTTTTCAGTCAATTGCCTAAGAGGAATTGCCTTTGTTCTTGATTTCTTTTCTTTAGCTTATGTTTTTTATTTTTTATTTTTTAATAAAAATAAGAAAAAAAACATGCAATTAATAATTTTATAAGTTTTTCATTAAAAAATTAATAGGTTTAAATAGAAATTAAATAAATAAATAAGAAATGTATATGTAAATATGAATAATAATATTGGTACTTCTTGGAGGTGCAATAAACTTAATTCAAAATCTATCAGTAAATTTTGGAGCATTATCAAGTGTAAGTGAAGGATCCACAGTTTAATCCAAACCAACCAAAAACCAACGGGTTGGATTGGAGAAAATCCAGAACTACTTAGATTGGTTTTAATCCATGATTTACTGGAACCAAATTATATGGATTGGGTTAAATCCGGACCACACCAGAAAAATCCAACCAACTTGCACCCCTATTAACATTATAATGAAATTAACATATAAAAAGCAAAAATCTATTGAAATTATGATTATTAACAAGTATTAACATTTTTGGCCAAAAAAAAGAAAACAAGTATTAACTTTTTTAACCATGCATAAAAGCTGTTTAGTTCCCACCTCCCAAAAATTGAAAAACAAAATAAAAGAAAGAAAAAAAAAAAGAAAAAGAAAAAGAATGATAACTAGGGATATAGACTCACTGTCAAACCATGCCAAGGGATCAGCACCTTTTATTTGGATATGAAGACACTAAAGAGGTGTTTCAGAATTCATTTTTTTGGATGGTTAAGGATCTTTTAGGTTAAGAAAGAACATTTTCATGTTCATATTTGCTTTTGCTGTCAATTTGAGTTTCAGTAGAGGTTTGCATCCACAACCTTTTCCAGAATGGAATGTGGAACATATGATTTCTAGGACATTGATTGACGCAAGTATGTTAGTAATGCAAGAGTGAAATAAAACAAACTACCTTAACTCTTCAACTTTTTTGGTAAATAACAAAGCAATAAGATCTAACATTTGTTCAAGGCTTCAAGCAGAATCAGTAAAACTAGAATACATAATAAGAAGAATGGTTGTAATCTGCAACACCTGCTATATCCATCAATCATCCAGGGCAACACAAGCTCCTTGTGGCATTTCATTCAAAGTCCAACTTAAGTTACTTCCCTGTTTCTAATTTGAAAAACACAAGTGTTGAACCAAAAGGAATCATATCTTGATACCATATGAACTAAATATAGTTTCTAGAAAGCTAATGCCTCCTCATGTTACCAGATGGTAAAGATACAATGGATTTTGGGGATAAGGATACCATCACAAGAAACACTACACCAAGTCAAATGAAAATTAACAGCAACAATGTTATTCTCTCTATTAGAGATCCTGAAGAATTACACTTAAATGGATAAAAATCATCATAAGAAGTCCAAATCTCAGGGTTAAAAGCTCACAGACTACCTCCTTACTGATAACTAATATCCATGCTTGCACTAAATACTTTTTTACCACTGAAATTCATTTTGATTCATGATGCAAAAAGCTCAAGAAACCAACATTCTAAACAGAGAAAACTTAATCCATTTTAAGAATGAACAACTAAAAAACATAGGATACACCAGCACAATAATGTGTAACGAACAGCAAAGAACATACATGCATTTTGCCTGTATCGTCTCAGAAAACAAACCCATAAAATCTAGATAATTAGCCCCTTAGCCAAAAACATTAGATGGTATTCCCAGCAGAATCGCCAAAACGTTATGCACATACCACGCCAGGAAAGAAACAAAATTAAGGATGAGTCAAAACATACCCTTGTCCATCAAGATTCCCCTGTCCAGTGCTCCCTCCGCTCCCAAAAGATCCGTCCTCTGCCCCAGCCGCTGCCTGCCATACGCTCTGCCACGCTTGAGACGGCGGCTGCACGTAAACTCCAGCAGTGGGATCCGCGGCCGGCCTGCCAATCATCATCCCAGGAGCCGCAGTCGCAGCAGCAGGCTGTCCCATCGGGGGATAGTAATAAGGTACCCCACTAGCCGTGGCTCCCACCATAGCCCCAAGCCCAGTCTCATCCCTGATCTCGTCCCTAGGCACGATATCAACCAAGAAATCGAAAATGTCGGTCCGGGTAATCGCGGCAGCGATGTCATTCTTCTGAAGGGTCCGGCGCTTGTTCTCCTCAGCGTGGAGCCAGGAGCGGATGGTGAGCTCGAGAATGAAGAGCTCGCAGGCCTTGGCGAAGAGAATTGGGGCCTCAGCCGATATCATGCGGACGTCTTCATCGGCCTTCATGATCTTCTTGATGCGAGCGAGGGGGAGCTGGTGGTTCTTGAAGTCGTTGACCTGCTCAATTTCCTGGCGCTGGTAGGACCAGAACATCTGAAGCTGCTGCTGTTGCTGCTGGAGAAGGTGGTGGAAGGCGGGAGGTGGGGCGGGTGCAGCAGTCGGGAGCTGGGGTGGGAAAGAGGAGGATGGAGCTTGCTGGGTGTTGTCCATTGGTGATGAACTGGGATCTGGGGGAATGATTTAATCAGAGGGATAGGGTCGGAGATGGGGGGCGGATGGTGGTGATGGTGGTGGTGGATATTTTAAGGGTGTGAGATGAATGGGATAAGGTACAGGGAATTATTATTATTATTATTTTTTTGGCAATTTGCATGCTTTTATTCTTTGGGTTTTCTAGATAACGAACCTCACCCACAGGCTAAATCCATATAAAAGTACAAAGTTTCTTATTAGTGAGAGGGTTTCAATACGTGTAACTTCCAAGAGTAAGTAAATGTTGTGAATTTGTTGTAAATTTTTTTCATTGATAGATGTTTCACCTTCCTCTTTACATTCACCTTTTTTTCTCATGTTGTAACTCTTCGTTATTAAAGGTGATTCATGATCTCATTAGAGGTCATTCATGGGTCTATTAATGTGCCATGCATTCTCTCATTTAGTTTTTTTTTAATGATTAATATAATTTCCATATATTTTTTAACCTATATAAGTTTGTAAGTTTATATGATTTGTACATAAAAGAGCACATGGTAAAATAAGAAACTTTCTTTTTTGTTTGTTATCTTGTTAACTTTTTCTTTTATTTTATGATATATTATCACCACAATCGTCTCTACCATTCAATTTGTGGTAAGCTTTTAAGGTAATATTTTGTTTTCTAATTTCAATTTGTTTTGCAGCCACAATGTTAAACTCAACAAAACTTGAGTTTGTTACCCTTGATATAACATACTTAAATTATTTGCTATGGATATTTGATGTTAAAATTCATTTGGCTACAAATAATCTTGGTGAAACAATTATTGAAGGAAATCAAGTATCCTTACAAGATTGCGCTAAAAGCACTAATATTCCTTTGTCATCATCTCCATGAGGGATTAAAGACTGAATATTTGATAATGAAAGATCCATTTGAATTATGGCAGAATTTAAAAGAAAGATGATCACCAAAAATTGGCGATACTACCAAAAGCTCATCATGAATGGATGCATTTGTGATTGTAAAATTTAAAATCTATTAGTGAGTATAACTCTGCAGTATTTTGCATTTCATCTCAATCAAAACTATGTAGAGAAAAAATTACTAATGAAGACATGTTAGAGAAAACATTCTCCACTTTTCATGCCTCGAATTTGCTCCTTCAGCAACAATATTGAGAGCGTGACTTTTAAAATATTCATATTTGATATCATATATTCTTGTTGCTAAACAAAATAATAAGCTTTTGATGAAAAATCATTAGTCACAACCCACTACTTCAACCCCATTACCTAAGGCAAATGCAACCTCATATAATAATAATGGGCGTGGTCGCACTTGTCACCATGGTTGTAATGGTGACAATAATTGTGACTGAGGGCATGCTTGTGATTGAAATAATACTTGGCATTGTAGTGGTTTTAACCTCAAATATGAATTTGTTGAACAAAAGAATGTAAAGGGTAGGAATTTACAAAAGAACCCTACAAAAGATCTTGAAAGTTTTTGTTACTGATGTGGAGTAAAAGAACATTGGAAGCGTACTTGTCACACTACTAGGCACTTGGCACACTGCTAGGCACTTGGTTGATCTTTACCAAGTCTCATTTAATGAAAAGGAAAAGGAAAAAAAATCCAAAAATGAATTTCATTGAGCATAACAATATGGATTTTGATACATATCTTAATGTTGTAAATTTTTTTAAGGGTGTTGAAAAATTTAACGGTATTTGGAGATACCCAATCAAGAGTTTGACTTATTATGCCCTTTTAAATAATTTACCTTGAGTGGCTATTTTTCTTTTCTATATGTAATATCTTTTTTTATATTCAATAAAAGAATAAATTATTTTATAATATATATATTGAATATTTGTCTCTTCTATTTCATTTGTCTTTATTTAAGACCAAATGGACTTGGATGATGCTAAAATCAATGATGGAGCCTTGTGTTTTGTTGACAATGGTATAACACAGACTATTTTGAGAAATAAGAATTATTTTTCTCAATTAAAGTTAGCTAAAACTAATGTTCATACAATATCTAGTATGGCAAAATTAATTGAAGGCTCTAGAAAAGCTTACATTTTATTGCCTGGAGGAACAAAATTATTAATACATGACACTTTATATTCTCATAGATCAAATTAAAATCTACTAAATTTTAAGGATATACGTCATAATGGTTTTCATATTGAAACCATGGATGAAAATGAAATAGAATTCCTCCAAGCCACAACTTTTGCGTTTAGCAAAAAGAAAATATTAGAAAAAATGTTAACCTTATCTTTTGTATTGTATTATACATACATACATTTAATAGAATCCAATGCTGTAACTAATTAGAAAATAGTTAATCCAGATACCTTTATCCTTTGGCATAATCGACTTGGTCATTTAGATACTATTATGATGTGCGGAATTATAGAAAATTCACATAGACACCCATTAAAGAACTTGAAAGTTTTATTATCAAGTGATTTTTTGCATGTTACCTGCTCCTTTGATAAATTAATTACCATGCCTTTTACAACTAAAATAGAAAATGAATCTCCTTCATTATTGGAACGAATTCAAGGAGATATTTATGGACCTATAAATCTACCATCTGGACCATTTTAATATTTTATAATGTTGATAGATGCTTCAATAAGATGGCCACATCTTTGCC